GTATTACGGACCAAAAACGTTCTGCACCTTCTGCGTAATTGAAGCAAACTTTTCGAACAAACTGTGGAGGCGGCAAGGGGCATAGGGATCGGGCATTGGGTGCAGAATGTAGAGTGTACAGTGTAGAGTGTAGGGAGAACGCCGGCCATGTTTGAATACGAGTCGCCAACATGTTTACATAAAATGGACTTGGTTTACAATTTGACTAAAAAAAAAGAGCTCCTCAAACAAAAAGCACAATTTATGCTGATTTCGACAAAAAGCAAACTTAATAAAGAATAAAGCAGGGAATACGAATGTTACCTACTCTTCAGATATACACATATATTGTATACAAGCATAGAGGAAGCGAACTGTTTCAATTATAGCAATATAAAGCGAAGTATTTTCATTTAAATCGTCGATATATTTATACTTTACATTAAATACATGCATACATGAAAAATGCTTATCTTAATTTTGATAATAATTTACTATTAATTATTTTAGTCTTAGACACTTGTTTATATTTTGTATTGATGAAAAGCAAAAAAAATGCTTTTCTAATTACAGATTTTATTTTATTTCATCTCTATCTGTTTTAAAAGGTATCAAAACTATTTATAGTTTCTAGAATACTCAGTTGATGGGAATAGCGTAAGAGATCCTTACTTGTACCTCCTTAAGAATTAATATAAGTACTCAATTTTAACACAAAAATACAGAAACTAATATAACGCTACAAGTTTAAACATAGATGACTTATCAATAATTTCAGATTGGGAATAATTAATTAATTTATTCAATGTGACTGAATTCAGAATAATTTTATATTATTAATTAAATATAATTTTGTATGTTGAATTAAAACATTATTAGGCATTTGAATTTCTCAGCTCTTCAAACTTCAAGCTGATTACAAATAAACAAATAAAGAAATTATAGACAGAGATGATTCTAGACGCACATAGCTCGACACTGTCGCAATACACTTTTAAAGGGTATTGAAGATAAAAGATAGCTAGAGGTTGCATGGAATTCGCATTGTTGGCTAATAATTGTAATTGGATCACCTGCTGGGGGCTTTAGTCCTCAGCATAGGGGGCATAGCTGGTGATCTGGCGTGCCACAATGTTGAGTATTTCACGGGCGGGCATCTCCTGCTGTTCCCTGATGATGGCCGTGATGCGTGCACACTCCTTCACATAGTTCTCCAGCTCGCGCTGATTGGGCGCTCGCCGAGCTGGCTCTTTGGAGCGCAGCGCCTGCAAGCACTGCCCAGTTATCTGAGCTAGCTGCGAGCGAGCCGGACTGAAGGTCTCGTCCAGGTCGAACAGCTCGAGGGGCGGCGCCGGTGGCTCACTGAAAATTGGCGGAAAAGTGGCCAATTGCAGCGGTGGCAAAGGTATTTCAAATTGCGGTTTAATTATGCGAAGCGGCTCGTAGTTCACATGCAGCTGCGTGTAGGTGTCGATCACATCCTTCAGCAGTCGATTGCTCAGCGAGCAGAGCGACATGTCGAACATTTGCTTAAAGTCCGAGGGCATCTCCGTGCCAATGGAGTCGATCAAACAGGCCTTGGGCATATCGGACAGAAAGGCCAGGTCCGTGAAGTGTTTATTGTCGTTTAGCTGTGGGAAAATAATACTTTAATGCAAATCAATTTCCGACCGGATGCATAAGAATTACAAACCTCCACGTCATTGAAATCCAAGTGCGTATAGTTTATCTCATCGGTGCCCAATAGCTGGACCACATACTCCAGCATGGCATCGTTCGTTTTGTCCTGCAAATACTTGTCGTGCCATATGTATCCTGAGCCCAGGGCCAATATCTTGCCCCCTTTGGCATTGCTATAGTAGCCAGCCAAGGGGCGATTGAAGGGATACACGACAGGTCCCGTGGTCAACAGCACGTTGGCCGGCTCGGAAACATTCAGCGTAGCACCGTAGGGATATTGAAAGTGTATCTTGTACTTCTCATCGCTGAAGTCGTAGTCCACCTTCTCGATGTCTCGTTTCAGCAATTGGCGCCACATGGACTCGCAGACGACGCCGCCGCCCACGATGCACTCCTTGGGATGGAAATTTTTGTAGTAATGCGGACGCACCACGTTATCGCTGTTGATGTAGATGCCGTACTGTTCCAAGAAGAAGTTGACATTCGTATTGAACTCCTGTTCGCCTCCTTCGCCGAGCAGCACCAACAAGCTGCCGCCCGATTGCTCCACATAATCCTTGAGCACCTCGAACTCCTCCTCGGTGAAGCGGTCCTGAGGTCCAGCCAATACGAAAATCTTAGTGCGCTTTATAAATCGGAGATATATACGAGTATGTGCTCCAAATTTCTCTAGCTTCAATAGCGCCGAAAATTATTGTTTTCATACGGACAGACGCACAGACAAGACGGACATTGCACAAAGCCAATATACAAATTCACTTTCGTGAATGAGTACAAGCACAGACTATATTAACTAATATAAGTGAACAATTCAATAATAATTTAATATTAAGACTTCTCTAAAGTATTGATACGTCATAAAACAGCGTATTACATAAAATAATATATAAAATAAATATGAAATAATATACATGTATACTGAAAACTTTACATTACTTTCGTAGAGACCTCAGCGGGCTTGAGGAGACTTATATGTCAATAGAGTTTGAAAGGTATATTTCCGAAGAAATATTAATGTATTGATATATGTATGTGATTTAATCATAGCAAAGCGCATCATTAACATTTCTCAGTCTTATTATCATCCGTAGAATAATTAAAAAATTTTACAACAAACAATTTTTGACTGTATAATCATATATTTAAGATATTGACAAAACTAAGGTCAACTTAATTACGTTAATTTCTCCAAGATGAACTGAAAGCATGGAATTTATTTATGGGATAAAGAGGTGATGGCAGAACTCGTGATACAATTTATTACAATTTATACCAAAAATGCATTATCATACATTAAGAACATGGTAAGATGCAATTAAGCCCATCAATTGTTTTGGCCTTCTATCTTTAAGGAATGAAATGATTTAAGTGGCTTTCATTTCATATACATTGGGCACATATTTGAAAAATAGATATTACTATATAAGATTTATACATTTTATTTTATTTATATGGCACACTTTCTTATCAATCAAATTTCGGTATTCAAAGCTGTTGTGTACATTTTTCATTTAAGAGTACAGGACACACTGGTTCTTTTCAACTAAATCATAATTATATATACAATAGGAAAAATTCAGAAGTGAATTGTAGGCTTACTATGTAAATAATGTAAGATATGTTCATTTATTTATGATAGAGGAATGTATACTTCAATAATTCAAGGATATGGAAGATAGATCAATATATTGTATGTAGATACTATAATAATTTCGATCTTGATTTAGATCATCATCAAACATACTTAAGTCCATTCTCATAGCAAACATTTCAATATCTAGCTAAGCTTTAAATTTAAAATATAAATAATTATATGTTGAATATTTTATTATATGTTTTCTGCTTGTTTAATAAGAAGGACGAATTAGCGTATGTTGCAGCTGCTCGAGAAGAACGAAAGCTCCAGAGAATTGTGTCTGTTCTTTTTTTGTGTCTGAGAGTTCCTTCAGGCGTGATAAAAACTAGAATTAAATTTACAGGCGTCAGTTGCAGAGTTTTTTGTTAACAGGATATTTTCTAGCAAACAGTTGCGCCGCATTTCGGTGGGGCAGCTCTCTGGAGCATGGGGGAGCAGCGATTGATGACGGGCATTTGTTGTGACAAGCATTAACTAGCGGTTTCACACACGCTCGAGCACACCCCTCAGCGATCCCCTACTACACAATTAGCACCCCTCCCCCCTTCCTCTTAACAACAGAAACAAATTGTCGCCACCTAAAAACCAAACAACTAGACTCCCAGAGGGAATACAAGGCCCCAGTCCCCACTCCCTCCGCCCTCCATCCCGTATGTGGGAAATATTAATAAAAATAATGAAGTGCAGTAAACAATAATTTTGTTGGCTATAAATACATATATTGTGGATTTTTGGTAAGTATATAGCTTTACTTCCCACAGGTTTTGTATTACGGACCAAAAACGTTCTGCACCTTCTGCGTAATTGAAGCAAACTTTTCGAACAAACTGTGGAGGCGGCAAGGGGCATAGGGATCGGGCATTGGGTGCAGAATGTAGAGTGTACAGTGTAGAGTGTAGGGAGAACGCCGGCCATGTTTGAATACGAGTCGCCAACATGTTTACATAAAATGGACTTGGTTTACAATTTGACTAAAAAAAAAGAGCTCCTCAAACAAAAAGCACAATTTATGCTGATTTCGACAAAAAGCAAACTTAATAAAGAATAAAGCAGGGAATACGAATGTTACCTACTCTTCAGATATACACATATATTGTATACAAGCATAGAGGAAGCGAACTGTTTCAATTATAGCAATATAAAGCGAAGTATTTTCATTTAAATCGTCGATATATTTATACTTTACATTAAATACATGCATACATGAAAAATGCTTATCTTAATTTTGATAATAATTTACTATTAATTATTTTAGTCTTAGACACTTGTTTATATTTTGTATTGATGAAAAGCAAAAAAAATGCTTTTCTAATTACAGATTTTATTTTATTTCATCTCTATCTGTTTTAAAAGGTATCAAAACTATTTATAGTTTCTAGAATACTCAGTTGATGGGAATAGCGTAAGAGATCCTTACTTGTACCTCCTTAAGAATTAATATAAGTACTCAATTTTAACACAAAAATACAGAAACTAATATAACGCTACAAGTTTAAACATAGATGACTTATCAATAATTTCAGATTGGGAATAATTAATTAATTTATTCAATGTGACTGAATTCAGAATAATTTTATATTATTAATTAAATATAATTTTGTATGTTGAATTAAAACATTATTAGGCATTTGAATTTCTCAGCTCTTCAAACTTCAAGCTGATTACAAATAAACAAATAAAGAAATTATAGACAGAGATGATTCTAGACGCACATAGCTCGACACTGTCGCAATACACTTTTAAAGGGTATTGAAGATAAAAGATAGCTAGAGGTTGCATGGAATTCGCATTGTTGGCTAATAATTGTAATTGGATCACCTGCTGGGGGCTTTAGTCCTCAGCATAGGGGGCATAGCTGGTGATCTGGCGTGCCACAATGTTGAGTATTTCACGGGCGGGCATCTCCTGCTGTTCCCTGATGATGGCCGTGATGCGTGCACACTCCTTCACATAGTTCTCCAGCTCGCGCTGATTGGGCGCTCGCCGAGCTGGCTCTTTGGAGCGCAGCGCCTGCAAGCACTGCCCAGTTATCTGAGCTAGCTGCGAGCGAGCCGGACTGAAGGTCTCGTCCAGGTCGAACAGCTCGAGGGGCGGCGCCGGTGGCTCACTGAAAATTGGCGGAAAAGTGGCCAATTGCAGCGGTGGCAAAGGTATTTCAAATTGCGGTTTAATTATGCGAAGCGGCTCGTAGTTCACATGCAGCTGCGTGTAGGTGTCGATCACATCCTTCAGCAGTCGATTGCTCAGCGAGCAGAGCGACATGTCGAACATTTGCTTAAAGTCCGAGGGCATCTCCGTGCCAATGGAGTCGATCAAACAGGCCTTGGGCATATCGGACAGAAAGGCCAGGTCCGTGAAGTGTTTATTGTCGTTTAGCTGTGGGAAAATAATACTTTAATGCAAATCAATTTCCGACCGGATGCATAAGAATTACAAACCTCCACGTCATTGAAATCCAAGTGCGTATAGTTTATCTCATCGGTGCCCAATAGCTGGACCACATACTCCAGCATGGCATCGTTCGTTTTGTCCTGCAAATACTTGTCGTGCCATATGTATCCTGAGCCCAGGGCCAATATCTTGCCCCCTTTGGCATTGCTATAGTAGCCAGCCAAGGGGCGATTGAAGGGATACACGACAGGTCCCGTGGTCAACAGCACGTTGGCCGGCTCGGAAACATTCAGCGTAGCACCGTAGGGATATTGAAAGTGTATCTTGTACTTCTCATCGCTGAAGTCGTAGTCCACCTTCTCGATGTCTCGTTTCAGCAATTGGCGCCACATGGACTCGCAGACGACGCCGCCGCCCACGATGCACTCCTTGGGATGGAAATTTTTGTAGTAATGCGGACGCACCACGTTATCGCTGTTGATGTAGATGCCGTACTGTTCCAAGAAGAAGTTGACATTCGTATTGAACTCCTGTTCGCCTCCTTCGCCGAGCAGCACCAACAAGCTGCCGCCCGATTGCTCCACATAATCCTTGAGCACCTCGAACTCCTCCTCGGTGAAGCGGTCCTGAGGTCCAGCCAATACGAAAATCTTAGTGCGCGCCAAGCACTCATTGTTTAGCTCAACTTCGTTTCTATGAATCGGATATAGTGTAATACCATAAGTTATATACATACGTATGTACATAGATGCATAAATCTAATCAGATTCATTCAACTTACTGTTCCACATTCCAGTTGGCCTTTAGCTTGCGATGCAACATTTTGTAGTTGTCCGTTATTTGAAAACGTTCATTTTTAGATATGTCAAAGCAAATTGTCGGTTTTTGCGACATTTTTTAAACTTTTTTATTATTAAATTAGATTTTCATTAAATATTTTATTCAGTTTTTGGTTGCTAAGCAATATCCGGCAAAACAAAACAACAAACCGCACAGCTGTTAGCTTTAACATTAAAGCGCATTACTTAAATAATACACTAGACATTTAAATATCAAACACTTTAAGTCGCCTTTGCATAGACATTAATCACAGAAATTAGAAAAGTTTCAGATCTTTTTTTTTGCAATAAACTGCACTTAGCCACTTTGGCGGCATAGCACTTTTATCGAAACATCTGGCAGCACAATTGCTGCGCATCTGTGCGCACGATTGCGCAACACTGGTTCGATAGTGCAGCGAAATCGACTCCATCATCGAATCAGTTGCGAACCACCGTATACCACTCACTAATCAACACCTGCCCTGAGTCTCGCTGTGAAAAATTACGAAAGAATTCGGTTGTTCAACGCTTTCCAAGATCAACAAATCTTTGCTTAACGAACAATAATGGCATCAATTTGTGGACGCATGGCGCTTCGTGCCGCCGCACGCCAAAATGTGACATACAACTCCGTGCGTACCTGCAAAAGTAAGTAATAAAAACGCGGAATACAGCCGTCACGTTCGCCCTGTCCGTGTGGCAAGGGAAACGCTACCAAGGCAGCGCCTCCATCATCCATATTACATAATAGAAATCTAAATCAAAGGCGTTGCAAAGCCTGCTGTGAGTGCAACAAGGTTTTATATACATTTCTAATGACCAACAAATGTGTCACTGTATGCTGGAGGTTATGTAATAGCCGTGTCCAGTGCAAAGGCGTTATTTGCCTTGGCATTCTATGGCAAATCAAATAAAAACGCAAAAATCATAATTCGCACCTGGCTTCGTTATCGCTAGTATCTAATACATTAATAATTGGCAGTAGTGTATTTGTGCGTGTTAATGTCGAAGGAGTTAAGGCTTTTATATAATCAATGTGCGCAGACAGCTGATTCAGCAAGCGGTTAATGTAACCAGGGGCGGAGTGAAGTGCTTGTAGCGAGAAAACGCTAATTACCGAAGACAACGTTTATTCTATGATATGAGCCTCATATGTAGAGAGTGATACAGTGAAAATGCCGTTTGCATAAAAACAAGAGAAAAGTGACACCCTACTTTATATATAATATATGAGTCAGAGGTAAGGTAGTATCTGCATATAGAAAAGAATGGAAGTGAAAGGACTGTTAGTGATCCAAGATATTGTTCTCAGCATCTGAATAATCCGTGTTAACAGACTATAGTAAATAGGCTAATACAATACTTTTGTTGCATAAATTGCGGGCTCGGTTTATGATAAACTCAACTAAATGCTCCTTTTTCCGTAGTGATGAACGACCCGTTGGAGCACGCCACGGGTATCGAGAAACGTGAACTGCTGCTGAAGGCGGCCGGCAACGATAATCCTTTCGACATGAAGGTCTTCAAACGCGGTGCTGGCACTAAGGAAAACCCCAACCTGATTCCATCGGCCTTCGATGCCCGCATTGTTGGCTGCATCTGTAAGTAGACTTCACACATTAGCTGGGGCAAATAATCTACTATCTCATGAACTTTCAGGCGAGGAGGATCAGACCTATGTACAGTGGATGTGGCTGCAGAAGGGCAACCAGAAACGTTGTGAGTGCGGCCACTGGTTCAAGTTGGTTGAGAAGGCAGCTGTTTAAAGTTATTATTAATTAATTAAATAAACCAATTAATAACAAAAACAAACAACACACACATAAAAACAACAACTATTAAGCTAAAAGTCAACATAATAGCTTTCCAAATAAAAACAAACATCAATCCAAATAACCAAAATTTAAACAAAAACCGAAACCAAATGCAAAATGCATATGCACCGCGTCTGGAAGAAGCTTTTATTTACGTTTTGGCTGGACACGCTGAATGCAATCGAGACACGTGTAAAAACGTTTAAATAAACAACATTTAAACAAATTTTAAACCTAGCAAATACTTTAAAGAGTTCTAGAGCTATGGATCGTGTCTCTTTGAACGGTAGATCTTGAATTTCTCCAAGTAGCGTGTTACTATACTAGAATAAGTAATCCAGTAATGTAAGCCTGGCAGCCACTAAGCTTCATTTCGTAAATCCATTGCGAATTGTAATTTTATCTGAACCCTATCGAAGTAGGCCAACAACTTTTCTATATTGTCAACATTCTCCGCTGCTAGCTCAATATTCAATATTTACTTCGTCGGGAAGTGAATGCTACATTGAGCTACAAACGTATAATACAACTCATTTTCTTAAAAAGTAAACAAAAAGAAATTTATATATACACAAATATATATGTGTTTATAGACACACACATACATATACTATATAGATGAGTATAGTTAGCTAGGATGTCGTCTTTTATCTCGCGTCTTCTCAAGTCTCCGCTCGCGTCAAAGCGTCTCGTATCGCAGCTCACGCACCGCGGCGAACGGAAGCTGGGGTCGCTGCTGCGTGAGCTCGGCATGCAGCGTGTGCTAGGAGCTCTTGGAATCAAGGGATTTGTGGGCGTGGCTAATCGTGGCATTGCCACCACGCCAGTCAGCAACAAGCGTAAGTAGGGCTTAAGTGATGCTGCAGCTAGTTTTAATGGGTCCTCTCACATGGCGCAGAGCTGACGGATGACCTGGAGCTGGCTACGGGCATCTTTAAGCGCGAGCTGATGCTGCGTAAGGCCGGCTGCACCGATCCGTGGTCTATGAAGAAGCCCATGAAGAGAGGTGCCGGCAGGGAGAACGATCCCACGGAGGTGCCCTCCGCCTTCGATGGCCGCATTGTGGGCTGCATCTGCCTTGGGGATCGATCAGCGAAGTGGATGTGGCTGGAGAAGGGCGCTCCCAAGCGCTGCGAGTGCGGACATTATTTCGTGCTCAAGAATGTGCCCGCTGTTTGAAATATAATTTATTTGTTTATCGCGAATAACCTAAATGGGACGCTGTATCTACTCACACACGCATACCAGCTCATGTATCTGCATACACACAACAACGTGCATGGACACATCTGTACATGCTTGCACTGGGACACCTTAACATACACATTCCAACACTAGAACAATTACAAATATTGAACTGATCTACTAAGACACAGGCTTAAACCAAAACTCGAAAGGTATTCAAAGAACATTGCATGATATTATCAGAAATTAAAAAACATGAATGTGATGAATGGAAGTTATATGTAATTTCCTTTAGTCTAAAAATAGAGTATATTTGCATTTTTATCGATTCGACTTCTGCTTAGGGAACAAGGCATTGCATTGAAATCTAAACCTATTGATGTATCTAGAAAAAAGCCAAATATGGTTTGAGTGCATTCGTTGTCTACATCGACTTGGGATTGAGTCTTTCACTTGGGTGATTCAAGTATCATTTGGTATCGGACAAATTCTGGAATTAGTGCATCAATGAAGCTTTCGTCACAGACATAGATGCTCATAAATGGCGAAACACAAAATGTGTACATCCGAATGAACTTTTGGTAAAATGAGTGACTACGTGAAGCCGAAAAGAAGGAAATGAGTGCGCTCGCCTCAATTGAGATGATGCATTCAATTTTTGTTCCAAAATAGCATTACAACATCTTGCATTACGCTTTACTCTTAATTTAGGAATGAGCTCATTCGCACTAAATCGACAAACAAACAAAAAGTAGTGTAGCAACAAATAAAAAACTTCAGTCGTGCTCCTAGCCCAGAAAAGTCATTTTATGTTTATTAAATATAGAAAGTTATGTTTGTTATTTATTTTTATTGTTTCTAGATATATATATAGTATTTCATTCATAATTATTAAAGCAAGCTTAAGTTTGCAAAAAAAAAAAAATAAATAAATAAATAAATAAAATAGATAAATAACACGTCAACGCCTCTGTGAGCACAGTGCGGTGTTTGCAGTGGGTTGAAAAAATAATCAGTAAGAAGACTCTATTCGAGGTGTTCGCTACGAGATAATCTGAGTCCCGAGTGATCTGGGTTTCTAACTATTCAAAGCTATGTATATATTGGCCCAGGCTAAATGTGAACATCAGTGAGTATCGATCGCCTCTAGATTAGTTTGTAAGTAAAGTAAAAATTCGATGTTCAAAAATTCAAATCCTTTGCTCTAGCTAGATACATATGTATATACGGTCATAACGTCAATCGAATAAATCGTGGCTAAATCGACTCCACTCGTCGTTGGTCAAGAATATTGTATATATACATACATACATACATATGGGGACTTACACGCCACATATTACTAATATCTTAAAGCTGTATCATCGCAGCATTAATTACAGTTATAAAGTGGACTCTCCTGACCTTTCTAGACTAGAGTGGACTAGAATATTACTTGCTCATGTTAATAATCTTTATTTGCATTCCTTTAAGCAATTGATAATAAACAAGAAAGAAAGCTATGGTCGAGATTGCTCGACTATGGAAACCCCTGAACCCTTGAGCGACTGATTTTTGAATACACACACAGTTTGGAAAGAAAGTGAAGAGAAAACCTTTTAATTTTTTGTTTTGAAGCGTAATAAAAACGGTATATTCAAATTTATTTTTTAAAATGAAAATTGGTAAATTAAACATCAAACTTATTAGTAAAATAACAACGTTTCCTAAAGAAAATAACAAATACAAAAAAAAAAAGTAACAAAAAGCAGCTGCCAGGAAACTTTTTACAAATCTCGCTTTTTCGATTCTTTTTGTCGTATATTCTAAGTTTACCGTTGTTTCCCGGTTTTTGTGAGGGTTTATTATTAGTTGGAACAATTTAATTCCCATAGTATGCCCATACTCCGCGCATGAAAGTTTATGCGTGCTTGCCTAAGTGTGCCTGTGAGAGTGTGTGTGTGTGTCTCTTGTAAGTAGAAAGACGCCAAGAATACTTGATATAACAATTTTTCGAAGGGTTCAGGAGATCTCGTAGTCGAGCAGTCTCGACTAGAGCTTTGTTACTTGTTTTATTAATAGCATTTAATAAAATTGACTGTTTGAGCCAAGTAGGACAGAGTAACTTACGCTAAATAATCTTATAGATACTTAATTATCTAAGGAAAACATAAGAATACGTAATATAAAGAGTTTTTTTGTGAACTAACTAACTACTTAACTAGTCTGATCTATCCGGCGTATCTCGCTTTCTAGATTCTCCTACTGGAGCTGCATGTGATCCACTGCTATTTCAATGTGTAGCCCGTCAAGAGATATCCACTGTTACCACTCATGTTGACCTCCGGATGGGTGCGGTTAGGCAGTATTTGATACGTGCGCATCCAGTTGGATGTTAGATGTAGATTTGTCACTTTTCCCGTTGTCTTCAGCTCCATGTATATTTCCTGGAGCAGCTCCTTGCACGTGCCAAAGATGACAACGGGTCGCGAGGGCTTTACCAGTGGCAATAATGCTTGCAATATACTCGAAGGATGCTCCTTTGCAGCCATCACTAGACTATCGAATTTCTCATTCATCAAAACGGCAGCGCGCTTATTCTCCACCTGCCAACGAGGAGGTGCTTTATTGGCTTTGGAAAAGAAAGAGGGAGCAGAGATTAATGTGATTCAAAGGAAGATTATTTTCGATTGGATATTAGTCAGGTGGTAAATCAGTTAGTTAGCTTACAGATTTAAGGAAACAGAAACCACTCGATTAAAAAAGCAAAATGTGAATTGATTGAAGATAATATTCTAGCCAACAGTATCGATTGAGAGGAAGATTTCAACTGCATGGAAAGGCAGTGCATTAGGTTAAAGTGGATGCTTTTAATGGAGAATTTGTTAATTAGTTAGAAAAAGATCGCTTACATTTGGGTGACTCATCCAATTTAACCTTCTTGCTGCTGGGCTCAAAACCTTCGCTTTGCTCTTCTGCAGTCACCTCAGCCTCAGTCACAGCCTCAACCTTTTCTTCGTCGTCAGCGGAATTTGTTGCTTCTGGCTTGTCGCCCTGGTAGAATTCACGCAGCACTGAATACAAATTTACAGAGATGCAGCGTTGTTGCTGTTCCAAAGGCAGTTTGAGAGCGAGTAGTGCCTGCTTCTGCGGCACATTGCCTGGATGCATGTGGACCAGTGTTGCCTCTGTGCCAGCGCCCATGGAGTTAAGCATGGCTGCCGGAAGGAGACCATTCGTGCCGCTCTCGTACAGCATATAGTTGCCAAACCCGGATATGCCCGAGTAGGAAATAATTTGTGAGAGCGTATCCACACGTATGCCCATTATTTTATCTGGATCCTGCCGATGGAATATGTCGGCCATTAGACGTATGGTGGGCTGGCGAATTTGGACAAACTCAAAATACTTCTTCTCCTTCTTCAGCAGATATTTATCCTGTGAGTATTCGGTGCGGGTGTGAAACGTTTTTGAGTTTTCCACTAGCTTCTCAATGATCTTGCTTGACTCGTTGCATTCCTCACGCATCTGCTCGATGTCCTGTTAGAGTAAAAGCGAGCTTATAAGGATCTACCATTCATTCATTTGATGCCTCACTTACCGATGATTTCAGCGATTGTGCCTCGCCATTGTCGCTAATATCCCGGTTGTCAGCTCCGCTGCTAGATATATTGAGCACGTCTCTAATACTTCGTAATTCATTTTCGGTACACAGTTCAAGACTGTGCTGTCGCTGTGCGCCACGTTTGCCCGCCTTCGACTCTTTTACACACATCTTAAATGTCGAGCCGTATGGCTGATCCAGCAGTGATTTTAGCTCCAAGTGTTCCTTGCCTAATGTTGCTGTTGCATCGAGACTTCCAAATTTTTGCAATTTTGTATATTTTTGCCTTTGAATGACAACATAATCACCTAACTGAATTATCGCCATCGCGGCTAAATCTATTCTCACTAATTCAACGGCAACAGAACAGCACGCTGCTTTTTACAAAAAATGCAGTTATCGATAACAACCAATCGGGCGAAAAAATGGACTGCAATCAGCAGGGATGATGTATTGAGTGAGAGAAAATGTATAAAATTATAGTTCCTGGCGTTTTATTATTGTTATCTAACGTGAAATTCGATGTTATTCTAATTAAGACTACTTGACCTTAAACACTTCAAGATCGGAGCTTATCACTTATATTAACAGAAACCCTTATTGGTTGAATAAATCTAAAAAATTTTTCAACCGATAATATAACATTTTAATTTAAAAATCATATAAATTTTTATCATGCCTAGAAGTATTTAATTTATTTATTTATTTATTTTGATTTTTTTTACCAGAATCATATTTGAATTACCGTTCGGTTATCGACAATTAGGAAAAGGTGGCAACTCTTCGGCAAATACGAGTTATTTTTTTTAGGTAAGCCACGAGATTGTCAGCATGTGTTTATAAATCATCGTAATCTACTGAGATTTCATAAATAGCCGCGCTCAATTTTAATCTATCAGTTAGAAGTGCCTTTTCTTGCCTTACATCAGAGGCCGACGTAACGGGCCCTGGACTTTGTTGCCCCTACTCGTTGGTGGAGTAATCGCATAACCTGTTGTCACCCAGCAACTACTAATTAACAGTTGATTGGAGCCGCGCCTGTTGAAAGCAATCAGTCGGAAAGAAAATAGAAATAGAAAACAAAGCAAAATGGTTGTCGGCAAAGGTGAAGAATCGCCTTTCATCGAAGGCAAACAGCCGGTGACCCTTAATCCCTCGTGGGAGTCGCAGATGAAATCGGATCCGAAAGGCAAAGGGTCGATAGTATCCAAAATTGTATCGGATCTTCAGCCGCCAGTTGATAAATATAAGTTGGTCTTCTTCATCTTTCTGCTTCATGGATTGGGCACGCTAATGCCTTGGAATATGTTTATAACAGCGAAATCGTATTTCGAGGACTTCAAACTAGGTGAAAATTACACGATCAAAACTGAAGTTAACTATCGCGGCAACTTTATGCAGAATATAGGCTTTGCATCGCAAATTCCCAATGTTCTTTTCAACTGGATAAATATATTTGTTAATTTCGGCGGTGATCTAACAACTCGCATTGTTTATAGCATTCTATTGGAAATCGTTATCCTTATCATAACCGTTGTGCTGGCTATGTTGGACTCATATGAGGTACGCACGTGGCTTACATGCAGTATTTATATACAACTACATACATATACATGAACAACAATCTAATTTTTCTGTCTATTTTTAGTGGCCCGGCATATTTTTTTGGGCAACTATGACCTCAATTGTACTTATAAACATGGTATGTATTGGTACAGAAGCTTAATACCCCAATCCCCAATCCAACAGAGTGCCCTATATAACATTGATTCGCATCTACAGTCTTGTCTTTATCGCTACGAACATATTGATTTACTTCGCCTTCTTTGAATTAATTGACATTTAATCTTTAACCTCTGGAAGTCAGAAAAAGAAATTGTTTTCCCCCTTCTGCAGCTGTTCTTCCTTCTATGATTCTTGTCTACTTTATTACTTATTAATAGCCTGTTTTAAGACTACCTCTGATACGCAGCTAAAAATATTCTTTGTGGATGTCAACTTAAGGGCAATATAGTAAAGGATTTAAGAGCTAAGAAATTAGGAATCCTAGCTTCAATTTTTTGCAACTCGTTTTTATGCACTTCCTTCCAGTTGCTTCAAATATAAATAATCTTTAATTATCAATAGGTGCAATAAGGGTCTAACAAGAAGAAGAAGTTTGATGGGAAACGGAAAAAATACCGACTATTTCACGGATCTATAATAAAAATCGCCAGTCTTTAGCTTTTATAGGTTCTAAGATTGAGGTATTTATACACACGAACAGAGGGAGAACGGACAAAACTACCTCGACTCAACTGTGAGCCTTTTTAAAGAATATGCATTATTTATTTATGGACCGAGTAACAAGCATTGGAGCAATGCAATAAAAACTTTAAAATGTCGATGACTGCGTCTTACTGCAAATGCTCCAGGACAGGAACGGAAAAACGAGCTTTTGAAATCTATTATACACCGACTTCACTTCGTACAATTCAAATGAAAGAAATTGTGGGTGCGAGTAAATCCGAACTTGACTTCATCGTATTAACCAATGCCATTTGTTCGTTATTAACAAGCAATTCGTCACATTTCTCATTGGTCAGTAAACAAATACATATAGAAATATCACCTCACCTTACCTGCAACTCTCTCTCTTTCTGTCCTTCTCCGTTCCCTATCAATATACCGCCTTATTTTGTCTTATTAATCAATTAACTAATTTGCAATTTGTTTTCGTTCTTCTTGCAGTGCAATGGCATCTACCAGAGTACAATTTACGGACTTGTTGCAGCTCTGCCCCCCAAGTATACGGGTGCCGTTGTGCTGGGATCTAATATTAGCGGTTGCTTTGCCACAATTATGTCAATGCTGTGTACGACGTTCTTCACATCGATGCGTACATCGGCTATATATTATTTCGTGACTGCGATTTTGATTTTGCTCTTCTGTTTTGATACCTATTTTGCGCTGCCGTTAACCAAGTTCTATCGGCATTACGAAATGTTGAATAACGAAAAGAAATCGGACTCCCGATCTCAATTAAATGTTCCTTATTGGCAAATATTTAAGAAAGCCTCGCCACAGCTTTTTAACGTGTTTTTCACCTTCTTTGTCACTTTAGCCGTTTTCCCTGCTGTTCATTCGGACATAAAGGGCACCGATGATTTTATCGTAGGCAGCAAATATTTCACACTGGTCACCTGCTTCCTCACTT